AACTACCATGCAACAGCTCACTCCCTCAGGGAAGGAGGCTGGTTTGTTTGCCACTTGCTACAAAAGATGCTAGGCCCTTGGCCCTGGATCCCTCAGTTGTGGTGCAAATTGCTACATGTGCAACCACTGTCTGGGCCCATTGCATTTACTCCACAGGACTTGAGGACAGGCCAACCAGTGCTATACCATGCTGATACTTCCACTGTATGCTGTATTGAATAATAAATTTCTTCATCTGATCCACCAAATTTCATCTACATTGTTACCAATGGAGTTGTGGCAGGTGAACCTGCTTTCTTGCTTAGTCATCTCCTTTGGAGTCTTGCTATTTCTTGCTATTCTCTAGGAGGTTGGGGCTCTTCTCTAACAAAGGGTGCAATGACACAGGCACACACACACTACAAAATGAAAATAAACATGAACTAGAAAGATGTTTCCTTACTTGAGAAATGCAGATAAATGTCAAAGCTATTGGAAACCAGAAAACCAAGTAATTTTGAGTATTTAAAATCAGTCCTGTATTCTGATACACCAAGACCAAACTTGAATGTTATTCCACATAGGAATCTAACCAACAGAATGTAGTTCAGATTTGGGGAATGATGGTGAGGAAACTATATTTTATGGAATTGCTAACACATTTAAAACTGTAGTTGGTAAGAAAAAGTGTGTTCTGGGCTGGGAGTGGCAGCTCACACCTGTAATCCCAGCACTTTCGGAGGCCGAGGTGGGCAGATCACCTGAGGTCAGGAGTTCAAGACCAGGCTGACCAATGCGGCAAAACCCCATCTCTACTAAAAATACAAAAATTTAGCCAGGTGTGGTGGTGCATGCCTGTAGTCCCAACTACTTGGGAGGCTGAGGCAGGAGAATTGCTTGAACCCGGGAGGTGGAGGTTTTCTGTGAGCCAAGATCGCATCACTGCACTCCAGCCTGAGCAACAGACCAAGACTCCATCTCAAAAAAAAAACAAAAGTGTTCTTTTACTTTTTACAATAAATCCTGTTTGAGAAGTTATGATCCTTGTGTAAAAACAGCTGTAGCAAGTAGTCTCTCATTTGTGCAGTGATAACTGTGGGCATTTATGTTTTTAGATTAAATCCTGTATTTGAGTAAAGATGTTAACAATACTTTCATGGACTTTTATGGTTAATTTCAGTATGTAAATTAGCATGTAGTTCATTTATAATTTTAGAAACTAGTAAACTAAAAAAAAATTTCACTCAAATTATCACTTCCTTTGTAACACCTATCCTGACCCCTGCCTTCCTTCCTTGTAGAGATAACTATTTCATCCTCTGTACCCTCAGGGCTGACACTCTATTCAGGTTGTTGCATCCACCTTAACACTTGCTATCTTCATGTGGAGACAGTGAACTCCCCCAAGGGCAGGGACCAGGACTCAGCCGCCTCCCCAGCTCAATTCCTGACTGAAAGCAAATGCTCAACTAGTGTTGTTGGTTAAAAGGAACACATGCCCAACCTCACTAGTCTGTAAAGAAAAGCAACCATGAGATGCCACCTTTCCAACTTCTAAACTAACAAAGATTAGTTATAAAGAGGAAGTTCTGGGAGGAGTCCAGAAAGCTACATTCTGGTCCAACCTTTCCAAAGGTCAATTTGGCAATTTCCCCCAGTGTCATACTAATGTTATGTAACCCCAAATTCAGGCTCTTGTACCTGATGCAAAGCTGAAGCCAAACACTAAGACACAGGTGCTTGGAGATAGAGAAAGGATTGTTCAATTGGGCCAAGGCAAGAAGGCAGAAGAGAAAGATCTCTCAACTGTAGCTTAACAAAGAGATGACAGCAGGCGTTTTTATGGGGTAGGGTGTAAAGGAGGGAGAGTTGCCAGGAAGATAGGGGAAAAGTCTGTGCCTCTACAGTCTCAGATAAAACTTTGAGCAACCAGACTTATAGGTGCCAGCAGCTGGTCGAAAAGTCCTTAATGGCATTCATTCCTTCTGCAAAATATTTTCATGATCCTGAAAGTTATCTCTCCTGCTAGACAAAGAAACAGGACATCAGCAGTTTATAATTATATTGTGGGAACAAGAGATATTGGGCAAAACGCGAGCGCTTACTATGTGCATGCAAGCAAGGGCCTGATCAGAATTTTCACTATGGCCGGATGCGGTGGCTCACGTCTGGATTTCCAGCACTTTGGGAGGCCGAGGCCCGCAGATCATTTTGAGGTCAGGAGTTGGAGACCAGTCTGGCCAACATGGTGAAACCCCGACTCTACTAAAAATACAAAAATTAGCCAGTCGTGGTGGTGCATGCCTGTAATCCTAGCTACTTGGGAGGTTGAGCCAAGAGAATCACTTGAACTTGGAAGGTGGAGATTGCAGTAAGCCGAGATCATACCACTGCACTCCATTCTGGGCGGCAGAGCGAGACTTGGCCTCAAAAAACAAAGCAAAACAGAAAAACAAACAAACAAACAACAACAAAAAAAACACCAAACGGAATTTTCAATACCTCAGTTACTAAAAATGCCAGAGAAAAATGCCAGAGTACTTAAATCTCAAGTAGCCTGGTTACACTCCGAATGGGGAGACGTAGGCCAGAGGCACTGGAAAGGTGAGCAGTGCTTTGGCTGGAAACCCGTCAGCCTCTGACAGAGAACTGGCATAATCTACCTCGCGATCTGCAAGGAAACACACCGGCCGGCAGAGGGCAAATCGCGCACGCCGCCTGCACCGGGCTCCGGCCTCCTCCGCATTCCACAGTTGTTGCACTTTTCCCACTTTTATAACCGAGAGAGGAAGTACGCGCTGCTCGAAAACGCGAAACGCGCATGGGACCCTAGGACCGACTCGCGCGCCCTCGACGGCTTGAAACCGGGTTCCAGACACTCGTTCGCGCCCTAGGGCTCCCGTCGCCCAGGTCCGGGTGCTCATTCTCTCCAGGGCGCAAGACCGCGAGGTGGCGAAGCACCTACTTGGCTGCGCGCGATGTGGCGGGGATGCTGCAGGCGGCCCCACCCGCTCTGGGCATGTCAGGGTAGGCGGTGTTCAGGAGTAGAGCCCCGCCCAGCCACCGCCTTCGGGTCCTGAGAAGACTCTCCTCCCGGCCTCCCTGTTTCAGCTGTTGACCTGCGAGAGAGCTACACCGCTCGCCACGTGCGGTCCCCTCAGGGTAGTGGGCCTCATAGGGCTCCGCCGCCAGATCTGGGCCAAGTTTCTTCCAGAGACTTCACTACCGACATGGGGTGTATGAAGGACGGTCCAGAGAACATTTCCCGACCTGCCTGTTTGCCTGACCTGAATGTGAGGTCCTTGAGCGCCCTTGAGCCGTGGCCTTGGGCCTGCCAAGATTGAGGCAGGCGTGGTCACCGAATACTTCTGGAGTGGGGAAGCGGGCACAATTTACACTGTCCCTGCCACAGGAGCTTCCACTTTTGCCAGGGAAACTAACCTGGAGGTGGGAGCTCCACCTTTTATTATATTGTTGGCCTTTTATTATACCCAGGGGAAAATAGTTTATATTTATAAATATAAAATATTTTATATAATATATATTTTATATATTTTACATTATATATAAAATATATAGCTATAAAAATATTTATATAGCTATTATATAGCTATATAAAATAGCTTATATTGTTTATATATATTGTTGGCCTTTTATTATACCCAGGGGAAAATAGTTTGCCAAATTTGGAGGGTGTGTTAAAAATGATCTGTCTTAATCATCCTGAAAAATCTAAAAATTTGGCTGGGCATGGTTGCTCATGCCTGTAATCCCAGTACTTTGGGAGGCCAAAGTGGGCCGATCACTTGAGGTCAGGCGTTCAAGACCAGCCTGGCCAGCATGGTGAAGTGCTGTCTCTACTAAAAATACAAAAATTAGCCAGGTGTGGTGGTGCACTCCTGTAATCCTAGCTACTCGGGAGCCTGAGGTAGGAGAATCGCTTGAACCTGGGAGGCAGAGGTTGCAGTCAGCTGAGATGGTGCCACTGCAGTACAGCCTGGGTGACAGAGCAAGACTCTGTTTAAAAAAATATATTTATATATTATATATATTTATATGTTATATATTTATATGTTATATATTTCATATATTTTTTATATATATAACATTGGAAGCAGGTGCCTCAAAGAGGTGAGCAGCAGAAAGGGAGGGCAGTTAAAGGCCATCAGTCAGTCATGGCCTCCCAGACCCTGGGAACTCTACCACTGCTGGAGAATCTGATCAAGCACTAATTGAAGGTTCCAGTTGACAGAGAAAACGGTGATTTCAAATAAGAACCTCAAAAGTCAGATGATTGGAAGCTCTGTGGATTTGGAATTCAACTGCTTCTCACCTGGGCAACTAAGTGTGCTCCAGGGAAATTTGAGTTACTTATATTCCAGGCCATGCAGGACTATCGCAAGCATGTGAAATATGTATATTTGCAGGAGGAAAAAGTCTAGGGAGAAATACACACCAAAGGAATACATTCGTTCATTCATCAGGCATTACCTATTTCATGCCACACCTTGGGCTCTAAAGAATCAGAACTACCACGTAGCAAGGGAGAAAAACGGGTAAGAATAAAACATCATTTATTTCCTTATTTTATTTTTGTCTGTGTTTTCTAAATGTGACTAGATCTCTAACAACCAAGAAGGTTTTATTTATTTTGAAAAAATATACTTTCCCTGTTAAAAGGTGAGCCACTCTTCTGAGGGCAGAGTCGGAAAGAAGGGTCCAGAAGCCCACCTAGCGTCCGATTTCCTTCTTTTTTTTTTTTTTTTTTTTGTTTGTTTGTTTAACAGAGTCTCGCTCTGTCGTCCATACTGGAGTGCAGTGGCGCCATCTCGGCTCACTGCAACCTCCGCCTCCTAGGTTCAAGTGATCTCCTGCCTCAGCCTCCCGAGTAGCTGGGATTACAGGTGCATGCCATCACGCCCGACTAATTTTTGTATTTTTAGTAGAGACAGGGTTTCACCATGGTGGCCAGGCTGGTCTTGAACTCCTGACCTCAAATGATCCACCCGCCTTGGCCTCCCAAACTGCTGGGATTACAGGCGTGAGCCACTGCACCCGGCCCCAGCGTCCAGTTTTCAAAGCCCCTCTGCTCAGCTTCCAGAGATCCCAGGAAACTCTAAGTGGGAGCATCTCGTATCCCCACGATGCGACCGGTCACAAAACACGGGACCCGAGACACTGAAAGTGGAGGCTTCTTGATGGATCAAGCTGCGCAGTTCTCATACCGACCCGCGGCCAGGCTGTAAGACACAATCACAGCCACCTTGGACAAGGACCCGTGAGCTGACAGCCATTAAGCTTCATAAACTGGTCCAAATCTAACGGACCGCTACTGCCGGAAACGGAAAGTCCTCAAGGGCGGGTGTTGGAAGCAGAGCGGAAGCGGAAGGAGAGTACCGGAAACGGTGTTTGGTGGCGCACGCGATGGCCGAACCTGTGTCTGTTGCGGCTGAATATCTCGCGGGCAGCAGGGCGCGCGCTGCACGCACAGTACTAGGTCAGGTGGTGCTGCCGGGTGAGGAGCTGCTCCTGCCGGAACAGGAGGACGCGGAAGGCCCTGGCGGTGCTGGGGAGCGACCGTTGAGCCTGAATGCTGGAGCGCGCTCGCGGGTGCGCGTTGTATGCGGCCCGGGCTTGCGGCGCTGTGGGGACCGCCTGCTGGTCACCAAGTGCGGCCGCCTCCGTCACAAGGAGCCCGGCAGTGGCAGCGGCGGCGGTGTTTACTGGGTGGACTCTCAGCAGAAGCGGGTGAGCTGGGACTGCGGAGGGGTGGTGCGGCCGTGAGAGTGATAGCCCTGGTTTGAGAAGACCTCCCAAAAGAAGAAGGGATGAGATCCTGAGGCCCTCTTGTTCAGGCAAACCTAGAGCCACCGTAGTCTTGTGCCCACTTCTGCATGTCCTTTAGAGGGACCGTGAACAATAGGAACATAGCCTGAGAAGGGCGACCAGGAGAGAAAAACGTTTGGAGACCGTGAGTCATGATTATAAAGTCTTCAAAACTCCAAACGTCAGGGAGCAGCAGGCTTGCCCATTCAAGTCTCAGAGGGCAAGACCAGGCTCAATGAGTGGATGTCATAGGGAGTTAATTTCTCCTAGAATAGGTAAGAACTTTCATACAGAAAAAAATTGTCTAACTATGGAGTGGGCTTCCTTGGTTGTAAGGATTCCTTTGCCACTGAACTTATGCCACAAAGCTAGGAACTTACTGGTTGGGGTGCTGAAGAGATAATGGGGTTTGGACTCAATTAACAGACTACCAGAAGCTGCACACCTGACACTTTATGATGTGATTTTCTTTTACCGAAAGTGGCATATGATCAGATTTCTTTCTCTTTAATGACAATAAAGTAACCACGAAGGACGTGCTGAAGGTATCTTCCAATGGTATCTTCTCATTTATGGCTGTTTTCTCATTCTATTTCCTTTTGTAGTATGTTCCAGTGAAAGGAGACCATGTGATTGGCATAGTGACAGCTAAATCTGGAGATATATTCAAAGTTGATGTTGGAGGGAGTGAGCCAGCTTCTTTGTCTTACTTGTCATTTGAAGGTGCAACTAAAAGAAACAGACCAAATGTGCAGGTAATTATGGGAGCCTTTGGCTTCAAAGTAAGAAACATCCCTTCCCTAGAACACTCAGATATCCAGAAGGCTACCTGAATTGTCTCCGAAGTATGACCTAGATCTTTGAGCATGTATATAATTGCCCCAGGCTCCAAGAGTTTCTTCAGATGCTGCAGGATCAGAGCCACATAATTTTTTTTTTTTTAACATTTACAATTTATTTTACATTGGCTACATTTGTTCTTGGGATGTTTCATTTCTACTGAGTTGAAAGGTTGTATCTGTCATCACCATTATTTGTTATGTCCATATCCTCGGGACAAGGATGTCTGCTGTAGGCTTAGAGGAGTGACAGGTGGTGCAAATTGACATTATCAGCTATCCATCCATCCTGGCTGTAGGTCCTAGAAGCTGATAGAGGAGTAATACTGTTACCTTGGGTTTTCAGGTTGGGCTTTTCAGGTAGCATAGCCACACGCTTCTTGTCTATCCAGCCCGAAATCTAGTGATGTCTTTGCCTCTTCACATTTACTTCTCATGCAAATTTATTTGCTTAATCTTATTTGATTCTGTCTCTGATTTTTGGCATGTCTATCCCTTTATCTCCACTTTGCAAGTTCAGGCTTTAGCTCCGTCTTGACTGGTCTCAGTCACTTCTTCATTAATCCTTGCCTCCACGCTTTTACCTCACCATCCAGGGTTTTGAGAGCTGACATCCTAACACAGTTACTTTCTCGAAAAGGAAAAACGAGATTCTCCAAAATCCACAGAATTCCTTGGCATTACACTCCAGGTGTCTTTCCTCATCCCTAATTATATCCTTCATACAGCCATACTCTAATCACACCAAACGCCATTAGACTCAATTTCCTGCCCTTATTCCTTTACACATGCTGTTCCCTCTGTCTTGATTGCACTATCCCTTCGCAGCCTGTGGAACACATTCTCATCCTTTGAGACCTAGGCTAAACACGACCGCCTTTGTAAAGCCATCCCCAGTTGTGACTTTTCTCATATTTTTGCTCTAGCACTTACTGGATTTAGCCTCGACTGAGGTTTGTTTATATGTACCTCCCCACTGCCCTCCAAGACCAAATGCTTCTGAAAAGCAGAGAATGTTTTGTTCCTCTCTAGTTTACATAGTCACCAACAAACAGTGGGTACTTAATATGTTTTGAGTGAACAGAATTGAGTTCACTCTCCATTTCCTCAGTTTCATCCCTTTAAGGTTTAGCTCTATGAGGTTTTTAAGTAAATCTTGCAGGGAGAAGTGTCAGTGAATTATTGTTTTGTTTTGCTTTGAATAATTTGCATGCCGGAGTTCCTCTCTGTAAATTGTAATTCTCTAGGGTAGTGCCACCTAACATAACTTTCTACAGTGATGCTGTTTTGTATCTGCACTGATTAGTATGGTAGCAGTTGAGCACTTGAAATGTGGCTAATGCAACTCAGGAAATTAATTTTAAATATCTAATTTTAATTAATTTAAATAGCTGTTGAGCACTTGAAATGTGGCTAATGCAACTCAGGAAATTAATTTTAAATATCTAATTTTAATTAATTTAAATATAAGTTTAAACAATTGGCTACCTACCATATTGGACAGTGCAATCCTAGAGGTGTTCTCTGGCCTTGAGATGGGCTCCTTGTCTGTGATTTCCTGGTTGGTGAAAGGGAATGATACATGTGTTCCTTTTTTTCCCCAAGACTCAACTTCAAAGTGACTGTGGGAATCCTGTAGTACAGTCAGTCCCTTAGCCACAGAACTGTAGGTGGCTGGCATTGATGCCTGTGAGAAAGAACCAGTAGCAGCACCTGTAGAGTAGTTTGCTGAGAGGAAATGAACTGGTTTTTAATATCATTGTAGGTTGGAGATCTCATCTATGGCCAATTTGTGGTTGCTAATAAAGACATGGAACCAGAGATGGTCTGTATTGACAGCTGTGGACGAGCCAATGGAATGGGTGTCATTGGACAGGATGGTCTGCTTTTTAAAGTGACTCTGGGCTTAATTAGAAAGTAAGTCCTGATGTCTGCTGCCTTGCCTGCCTTCTTTTATAATTACACATTCTTGGAAAGTTGGTTAATCTTCAGGATTCAGATTATTTGTAACATTTAAATTTCTCCTCAAAGTTAAAAATCAATATCCATTTTAACACATTTGGAAACTCATGAATTTAATCCTATCTTCTTGGAAACGTATCAAATTCAGATGTGTTTGGCTGTGTAGTTTCTGGTGGGCTAATACTTCATGCTTTAAGCTCTTACTCTGTATTCATGTCTTCCCTCCCAGGCCTGTTCCTTAGTTGACTCAGCCCAAATGTGAAAACTGGCCTTTCCCCTGTTCTGAGTCACTTGAATACAGATGCAGTCTGCAGTTGTACAGAATTATCAAATTTTTCTAATTATGGGGGTCACACGCAGCTTAGATTGTGATGTTCAAGGTTATGTAGCCATTCACAGAAGGTTTCTGACACTTGGTCCTGGTAAGTTTAACAGTTCCCACTGAGGCAGATTCTCTTTTTGGTGTTTACAAATTTACCCACCCAAAGCTATGCCATATTCAGGGGCTTTACTCCTAGAGCCCGTGAAGTTCAGAGCTATCTTGTATGCCTCTCCTTGCTCCGTATCCTAAAGATCTGGAGAATTAAGTTTGGACATCAGAGAAGCATGTTATTAACCAAGAAACATGTTATTAACCAAGCACCACCCTTATGGTTTGAAAGAGCCAATGTTCCTCTCCAAGTACTGTATTTAATGCAAGAGAATGATATGGTCAGGAAAGTAAGTTTAAAGTGTCTTTTAGCACTGTAGGTAACAAAAAAAGTTATGATTCTCAGTCTAGAATTAAAGTGCTCTAACAATCTAGTGGAATGACTTTTACATTTTTTGCAAAGTTGGTAACCTAGGGAGTTTGACTTCGTAAGGGATAGCCCACTTCTGTGATCTCTAATATACCTTTGAACATTATAAAGTTTCTTGGAAGGAGGCAGCAAATGTCATCATGTGCCTTGTTCTTGTTGAACAACTACGGATAACTCAGAAAAGGAATCACATTCTAAAGGAGACTCTGGACACCTTCGCCGCTTTATTAAATTTCATTTCCTTTTCTCTTCCCACCAGGCTATTAGCTCCAGACTGTGAAATCATACAGGAAGTGGGAAAACTCTATCCACTGGAGATAGTATTTGGAATGAATGGAAGAATATGGGTTAAGGCAAAAACCATCCAGCAGACTTTAATTTTGGCAAACATTTTAGAAGCTTGTGAACACATGACGTCAGATCAAAGAAAACAGATCTTCTCCAGATTGGCAGAAAGTTGATATAGGTGGACTTTTTTACAGGTCAGTTGATGCAAAAAACTATGGGTTTCCTGGGGAATACTTTTTTCACGTGAACCTCTCCCCATTTAAATACTCAGAAGATAAGGTGTGAATGTATATTATCAGAGTCCTAAAATATTTTTATAAGTAAGTTACTGGTTTTCACCCACGCTTTAGAGAGAAAATCATTGCAAAATCATATTTTCTGTTTCTGTACAATAAAGTTTACTAAAAAACAGTATTATGGTATATTTGGAGTTAACTCCCTTAGTATTGCTACAGCTTCCATAATTAACTGGAAGTCAGCAGTAAAATAATTTTCTGATTATAATAGTAAGCCAGGTTCACCAGAGGAAGTGCAGACTACATGAAAAGTATAAAGCAGCAAAACGTCACCTGTAGTCCCATTATTCAGGGGGTGAGTATATAACAATGAAATACTGTGTGTTTTCCATTTACCAAGTATTGTGTTTTGCATGGATTAACTCCTTTATTCTTACTAACTGCAGAAGACACTTATCCTCATAATTGAAACGGAGGTACAGAATTTAACTTGGCCTACATTCTCTGTATGTTCATCAAATTGAAATTATATTATAGCTTATATGCTACTTTGTAATATACTTTTGTCTACTTCAAATAGCATGATACATTTCACAACTTCCATTAAAAATTCATTAGTCACATATTTCATGTTATAGGATATTTTTGATGTAGTATATTTGATATATTTTGATATAGTTTATTATTATATAAATAATGAGGATTTCTGAATCCAAATCTGGCCAAGTCTTATTTTGCTAAAATCATTTCCTAGGAGCTCAGCATAGAAAACTCTTCTATGCTATTTTAGTATATTAACCAAAACCTTTAAAGGTAAAAAGACTGCCAGGCGATCCACATCAGTGATTCTTGGTTTCTAGACCTCTTTGAGAATATGTGAGATATAGATCCGCTGAAGCCTATCCATAGAAAGTCCTTTTTGGATGAAAGAGATTATAGAACTCATTGTTTATATGTTGATAAAGACCAAGGAGCTTTATGTGTTCCTAATGATGTTTTCTGAGGACTGGGCGGTTTTTTTACTTCAATAGATTTTAGGGCTACAAGTGGTTTTGGGTTACGTGGATGAATTGTATAGTGGTGAAGTCTGAGGTGTACCAGTCACCTGAGTACTATATATTGTACCCAATATGTCATCTTTTTATCCTTCCCCTTCCCCCTTCTGGGTCTCCAGTGTCTTATACCACTCTGTGTGCTTACCTGTAGCTTAGCTCCCACTTACAAGTGAGAACATTTGGTATTTGGTTTTCCATTCTTGAGTTACTTCACTAAGAATAGCTTCTAATACTATCCAAGTTGCTGCAAAAGACACTTGGTTCTTTTTTATAGCTGAGTAATATTCCATAGGATATATATATACACCACATTTTATCCATTCATTGGCTGATGGGTACTTAGGTTGGTCGCGTATCTTTTATGATGAACTATCTGGCCGGTTTTTAAATAATAGAAAGATACTGGTGTAATTTATTAGGTGATCACAGTTCCTTAGGAATTAAATTGTGAAGGGGAGGGGACAGAGCAGAGAAGTAATCTTTTGGTTCTTTTGAGTTATTGAATACATTTCCTGAATTTGCTAGCTGCTTAACTAGCAAGTTAACTAACCCAAACTGTCAGAGTAACTGAAGCAAATATGTCCAACTGGGACATAAGGAACATGAGATTTGTGTAATAAGCAGGTTATCTAACATGCTCATGTGTCAAAATGTAACACTTTCTAGCCGTTTTCAAGACAGACTTTTATCAATACTGTGTTTGCTTTACAATTTAATCTGTTACAAATACATATGAAGAATCTAGTTGGTACCAGGCTCAGAGAGGATAGAAAGATAGGTACACAGATCTGTCCTGTTAGGATCCTGCCATTAGGAAGAGAAGTCCTCCATGTGCATACTCCACAGGGTAAGAGCCATAGGAGGGAACAAAATGCTATGGGGACTCAGTAGGGATAGGTCAGAACAGGCTGGATCCTGCAAAGCTTATTACAGAGCTGGGAGACGATAAGCATGATCAGACAAGGCTGGAGAAAGTCATCCAATTTTATGATGCCAGTTTAGTGAATATTAAACTCTTGATATAACCATTTAAACAATTTCAAGAGGTCTCTCACAAATAGATATACAACAGTTCAATTAGCACATCCAAAACCATGTGGTTTTGGGGCTAATTCCTTGTTACATAAATTTCTTTTTTTTCTTGAGACAGTCTTGCTCTGTCGCCCAGGCTGGAGTGCAGTGGCACGATCTCAGCTCACTGCAACTTCCGCCTCACAGGTTCAAGTGATTGTCCTGCCTCAGCCTCCTGAGTAGCTGAGACTACAGGCACGCGCCACCGCGCCTAGCTAATTTTTGCATTTTTAGTAGAGACAGGGTGGTTTCACCATATTGGCCAGGCTGGTCTGGAACTCCTGACCTTGTGATCTGCCCGCCTCAGCCTCCCAAAGTGCTGGGATTACAGGCATGAGCCACTGCGCCCACCACATTAACTTTTTATTACTTATCTGGGCACTTCCTGTGAGCCAGGCACTATGGGAAATTAAAAAGCATTCAGTGTGGTCCCGGACATTAGCTTACTGTGAAGCTCTGAGAATATGTCATGCAAAGGCAATTATGTGCCACTGACACCCTCTGCCCTGCTCTTTGGTCAAGGTTAACTCCAGCACCTCACTCTTGCAGCTGCAATTTTTTTTTTTTTTTTTTTTTAAGATGGAGTCTTGCTGTGTCACTCTTGTCACCCAGGCTGGAATGCAGTGGCGAAATCTCGGCTCACTGCAACCTCCACCTCCCGAGTTCAAGTGATTCTCCCACCTCAGCCTCCCAAGTAGCTGGGACTACAGGTGCATGCCATCACACCTGGCTAATTTTTGTATTTCCAGTAGGGACAGGTTTCACCATGTTGGCCGTGCTGGTCTTGAACTCCTGACCTCAGGTGATCTGCCCGCCTCGGTCTACCAAAGTGTTGGGATTAAGGCGTGAGCCACCACGCCTGGCCACGCACCTGCAATCTTAGGCCCATCATTCCACTGAGTTCCGAAGAATATAGCCTTTTCCTGAAGTAACTCCTTTCTTCAATGCTTCAGGCCAGTTGCGAGTCTCTAAGTAAGTCGACAGGATATCAAACACTGTTAGAGAGTAAACAGAAAACACAGTGACCACACAGAGGAAAAAAAGAATGAGTAAATGAAATGAAAAGGATGTTCTGTAATATTTCATTGAACCTATTCTGCACCATATGTGGTACTAAGGTCCTGCGGGGAGAGAGGCAAGGACACAAGCTCTGCTTACTCTCAAGGACCTCAACCTACTCTGAAAGATACAGGCCTGTAGGGAGTAACAAAAAGGAACACAGTAAAATGGGAACACAGAAGGGCCCTGCCATGGCCTGGGATGGGGAAGGAAGCCAAGATGTTCCTGAACTGAACCCTGAAGATCAAACAGGAATTCAGTGGTCAGTGAGAGGTTAAAAGCAGGGCATTCTAGGTCAAGGGGACAATTTCTTTCTTTTCTTCGTCTCCTTCTCCTCCTCCTCGTCCTCCTTCTTCTTACTCTCTCTCCCCCCACCCCCCGCTTCCCTCTCTCTCTCTCTCTCTTTTTTTGAGGCGGAGTTGTGCTCTTCTTGCTCAGGCTAGAGTGCAATGGCACGATCTCAGCTCACCACAACCTCTGCCTCCCAAGTTCAAGCACTTCTCCTGCCTCAGCCTCCCAAGTAGCTGAGATTACAGGCATGTGCCATTACACCTGGCTAATTTTGTATTTTTAGTAGAGACGGGGTTTATCCACGTTGGTCAGGCTGGTCTCGACCTCCCAACCTCAGGTGATCCACCTGCCTCAGCCTCCCAAAGTGCTGGAATTACAGGCATCAGCCACCGCACCCACCTTTTTTTGTTTTTGTTTTTGAGACAGAGTATCACTCTGTCACCCAGGCTGGAGTGCAGTGGTGTGATCTCAGCTCACTGTAACCTCCACCTCCCAGATTCAAGCGGTTCTCATGCCTCAGCCTCCAGAGTAGCTGGGATTACAGGCACGCGCCACCATGCCTGACTAATTTTTGTATTTTAGTAGAGATGGGATTTCACCATGTTGGCCAGGCTGGTTTCAAACTCCTAACCTCAGGTGATCCGCCCACCTCAGCCTCCCAAAGTGCTAGGATTAAAGGCGTGAGCCACTGCGCCTGGCCAAGGGGACAATTTCAACTATCTTTAACATAGTTGGTGACAAGGAAGAAAACAAAGAATGCCTCTTGGTGGCCAGAATATGTGTCACGAAGTGCATGCAATAAAGTCCAAGCACATTAGTTAGTCACAAGAGACTGACTCAAAGGCCACTTAAACACAGTGCAAAGCAGCAGCACTAGAACTCACACACGCTGGATGGGGGCCGTGTAAGAAGTACCTTGATTGATGGCCAGGATCTCTGAATGATAGTTTTTCCCATTCTGTTTTCTGACCATGTATTCCTGGATTGGCAAGCGTGCGGTCTTGACAGAGTACTCCCAGGCCTTTTGAAATGTCACCTTCTGTAAATACAGTTAAATCTTTTTCTTATAAAAATTATCCATGAGTATATGCCCAATGTAATACAGCTTTAAAATTAAGTACGCTATTGTGGAATGGAAGAAACTGCAGATGAGTTAACTGTCTCAAGAGATTATGTGACAATATCTTACTTTTGGGGGGTCACTTATCCACAGTCCTCCACTCACTACCACTTAGAACCAAGAGGGAAATAAGCAAAAGAGGCACATCTGCAGCTACAGTAGACATCAAAAGGCCCAAGAAGTCGAATCAATCAGAGCCCATTCTGAGCCCTAACTCAGTAAGACCCAATTCTGGATATCTGGAACTTCCAGCTCACTGCCAAAAGGCAGCATCAAGAGAAAAGGTAGACAAGATTCAAGACGGGTGCACCACTGCAACAAGTGGCATTAAGGTGTGAGAACAGACAGCCCAATTAAAAGAAAGGGGCCAGGTGCAGTGGCTCACACAACACTTTAAGGCCAAGGCCAGAGGACTGCTTGGGCCCAGGAGTTCAAGACCAGCTTGGGCAACAGAGGGAGACCCTGTCTCTACAAAAAAAAAAAAAAAAAAAAAATTAACAGGGTGTGCTGGTGTGTGCCTGTAGTCCCAGCTACTCTGGAGGCTGAAGTTGGACAATCACTTGAGCCTGGGACATATGTCAAGGCTGCAATGAGCTGTGATTGCACCACTGCACTCCAGCCTGGGTGACAGAGGAGACCCTGTCTCAAAAATAAAAGGAAGGGCTCTGAAAACTGCAAAAAGGAGTCACAAGAAGTCCATCAACTTGAGGCCATTTAGTGGCGGAATACAGAAACTGATGTCCCTTTATAACATGTTCCTCAGTCATGAAGTCCCTCAGACTGAGTCTTGACTCAGTCAAATTACATTGCTGCCTTATAAGAAGCACAGGAAAGATTTTCCACCTAAGATTTCAGGATTAAAGAGAAAGGTTCAGATTACTGGGATAATTAACATGCCGAGGCTTGGAAGGGGTCTCAATAGTGAACTATCTTACTCTAACCACCCATCCAATGTCTGTCTATTCTCTATGACTTCTCCTCCAAGAGGCCATATGGCCACTCAATGAACAGCTCTTGTGACAGGGAGTTCATGAATCCTGGGACAACCCACCCAACTTTGATAGTACCAGCTGATAAAAAATTCTTACTGATCTTGAGCCAAATTCTCTGTTTTCTCTGAGACTTCCACTCCTTCATCCTAGGTCTGTTCCCCCAAGGTCAGACTATGCAAGTAAGATGGCCATTCAGAAACCTGAAGGCAGTGATCATGCCCCTAGGAATCCTCTGGTCTCCAGATTGTAGCCTCAGTTCTGTCAACTCTTCTTTGACTATGACTTAGTTTCAAGTCCCTTCATCATTCAGGGCAAGTTCTTCTGAACTTGTTCTAAGCTAGTCAATATCATTTTGTTTACAGTCCCATAACTGACTGGCCATCATGAGTGTGGTCTAACCAGGTGGAATAGAGTGAAGTGGACCTAATACCTTTTTGATGCTGACACCTGCTTCTCACTCACATGAAACAAAATTTTAAGAGAGAACTTCCAAAAATGTTTTAAGAGATGCAACTCTGATAAGACAAGGGCTTAACTGAAAGGATAAAACTCCTTTGCATATATGAGCTATGATACATTTTATAAAAAGTCATTCCTTTATAATCACTTTGAACTAGAGTACAGAATTCAAAATTAGTAGGATATTTGGGTGTTGCCCTAGAAGAGCTTACAATTTAGTTCAAGTTCTTTGCACAATGATTCGTAATAAAATGAATCTCCTTGAAGAAATATTGTTCTTAGCTTATTTCTGTGAAGAAGCCAAACTCCAATAACAACCAAAAAGTTCTAAACATCTCACGAATCTTCCAGTTATTTTTCAGTTTACAGGTGGACAGATAACACAACGTATTAAAACTGCACATCTATAAGTCATGCACTTCTCACTGACCCTCTGAACTTAACTGCCTCAAAAAAGGGACTGTTGGCCAGGCACTGTGGCTCATGCCTGCAATCTCAGCACTTTGGGAGGTTGAGGCAGGTGGGTAACTTGAGTCCAGGAGTTCGACACCAGCATGGGCTATATGGTGAAACCCCAACTCAACAAAAAATTAGCTGGGCTTGGTAGCACCCACCTGTGGTCCCAGCTACTTAGGAAGCTGAGGTAGGGGGATCAATTGAGCCTTCGAGGTTGAGGCTGGAGTGAGCTGTGATTGTGCCACTGCACTCCAGCCTAGGCAGCAGAGCAAGGCCCTGTCTCAAAAAAAGAAGGGGGGGCTGTTACCCTGCTGCAGGTAAGACTAATAAACTTTTAATTAATTATTATTATTTTTTAGAGACAGGGTCTCACTGTGTTGCATCACCCAGGCTGGAGTGCAGTGGTATGACCACAGTTCTCTGCATCCTCTAACTCCTGGGTTCAAGTAGTCCTCCAGCCCTCCAAAACTTTTTTTTTTTTGTGAGACAGTCTTGCTCTGTCACCGGGCTGGAGTGCAGTGACGCAATTTCGGCTCACTGCAACCTCCGCCTCCCCGGTTCAAGAGATTCTCCTGCCTCAGCCTCCTGAGTAGCTGGGATTACAGGCACACACCACCATGCCTGGCTAATTTTTATATTTTTAGTAGAGACAGGGTTTCACCATGTTGGCCAGGATGGTCTCGATCTCTTGACCTTGTGATCTGCCCAACTTGGCCTCCCAAAGGGCTGGGATTACAGGCGTGAGCCACCACGCCCGGCCCAAACTTTTTACTTTGAAATATTTAAAACCTAAGAAAAGTTCAAAACAATAATACAATCAATATTCATTCCTATAATCTAGACTCACCAGTTGTTAATATTTTGCATTTTTTCTCTCTGTATATAAATACGTATTTTGGGCTGGACAAGGTGGTTCATGCCTGCAATCCCAGTGTTTTGGGAGGCTGAGGCAGAAGGATTGCTTGCAGCCTGGAGTTCAAGACCAGCCTGAGCAACATCAAGAGACTTCGTCTCTAACAACAACAACAAAAAATAGCTGGCCATGGTAGCACGTGCCTAGGTACTCAGGAGGCTGAGATGGGAGGACTGCTTGAGACCAGAAGTTCGAGGTTGCAGTGAGCTATGATCACACCACCTCACTCAGCCTGGATGACAGAGCAAGACCTTGTCTCAATAAAAAACAATTTGCCGAACCATTTGAAAGTAAGCTGCAGACATCACAATACTTCTTCACTAAATACTTAAGCATGCATCTAAGAACAATGACATTCTCCTACCTTACCACAATACCATTTTCACTTCAAAGAAACTTTTTAATAAATCTGTAATTTCACTTAATACACAATCTATATTAAAATCTGCTCAACTCTCCCCAAACTGTCTTTTATAAAGCTTTCCTCTCAATACAGAATTCAAACGGGCTCACATGCTGCATTTGGCTATTACGGCTTTTTAACCGTTTTTTCTTTTCCTAATTGTTTTGTAGAGATAGGTTCTCACTATGTTGCCCAGGCTGGTCCCAAACTCCTGGCCTCAAATGATCCTCCTGCCTTGGCCTCCCTAACTACTGGCATTATAGACATGAGCCACTGTGCCTGGACGAACCTCTTTTAATCTAAAACAGCCTCCTGCCTCAGTTAAGTCCAGTCCAATTGTTTTGCAGAATGTCCCACATTCTGATTTGTCTGTTTCCTCATGATTAAATTCAGCTTAACCATTTTCTGGGCCAGGTGAGAGGGTTCACACCTATAATCCCAGCACTCTGGGAGGCTGAGATGGGAGATTGCTTAAGTCCAAGAGTTCGAGGCTGGACACAGTGAGACCTGTCTCTACAAAAAAATTTAAGAACGAGGTTGGACACAGTGGCCCACACCTATATCCCAGCAATTTGGGAGGCTGAGGCAGGAGGATTGCTTGAGTCCAGGAGTTTGAGACCAGTCTGGGCAATGAAGTGAGACCCTGTCTCTACAAAAAAAATTCAAAAACGAGGCCAGGTACAGTGACTCATGTAATCCCAGCACTGTGGAAGGCTGAGGTGAGTAGATTGCTTGAGTCCAGGAGTTCAAGACCAGCCTGGGAAACATGGCGAGACTCTTGTCTCTACAAAAAATATAAAAATTAGCTGGGCATGGTGGCACATACCTGTAGTCTCAGCTACCCAGGAGGCTGAGGCAGGTGGTCTGAATGAGCCCAGGAGATTGAGGCTGCAGTGAGCCATGATCACACCACTGCACTCCAGCCTGGGCAACAGAGTGAGACCATGTCTCAAAAAAATAAATTAATAACTAACTAGGTGTGGTGGCATGGGCCTGTAGTCCTAGCTACTCAGGAGGCTGAGGTGGTGGGAGGATTGCCTGAGCCCAGGAATTTGAGGTGAGGTTGCAGTGAGCCATTATCACTCCACTGCACTCTAGCCTGGGCAACAGAGCAAGGCCCTGCTTCAAAAGGAAAAAAGAAAAAACATTTTCTGGCAAGAATACTTCACCTCAGGAGGCAGAGATTGTACCTCTATGGGTGATACTAAGTTTGATCAAGTTTGGATAAGATGGTGACCACCAGAATGCTTTATTGTAATGGTAAATCTTTGCCTTTGTTATCTGTAGGGTGATACTTTGAGACCATGTAAATAGCCAGTTCCTCCACAACCTTTCTTTCAATTGTCTGAGTCAATGATTATATTAGGAGTGACAAAATGATGATTTTCTAATTCTATTATGCATTTCTTATTAGCTGGCATTCTTCTGTAAGCAGCCCCTGCTCATTTTTTAGATGATCACTATGGAGTCATGGAACACCAATGTTTTTAAAATAAATTTAATTAAATTAACCTATCATCTGTGTTAAATATATGTACATCTCATACATACAGGAACAAATAGCACACATCTACATATATGTAAAATATACCCACACATATTTTGTGATCATATAATGTCTCAAGAAGGATACACAAGAAAACTTGACATTGGTTGCCTCAGAGGAAGGGAATTGGAAGACAAAGGTAGGAAAAAGACTTATTTTTCACTCTACTCTTTTATATTTATATATCAATCTTTATTATTTAACTTATTATCTATGTAATATGTTAATTAGTAAATATAAACAAGCTTATCTTGACAAATAGCTATATAAAAGAAACATATTTCAAAATTCCAGTGACAACCCAATTATTCCTCTAAAACTCCAACCAAAAAGAATGTGGATAATTCTAGGAGTTTGAAGTTTTGGGATAGAAGACTATTTCAGCAGAGAGGTCAACGTGAGAAGGAGCAAACTACTCTCTCAAAGAACAAACAGCCAGTAAGAATGTTGAGTGGATGCTTACTTGTCAAGATGAGAGTTTTCCTTGCAGAACTGGAGAAGCTCAACAATGGCTATTTATGTAATTACCAAATAGTGCCCAGTCCAGTTCCCAACTCTTGATTTTGCTGACATTGCTCATGAGGAGAGAGGGAACTTCATCGGCTAGAGGGCCAACCTCATGGGGATGGCTTTCTTCCTGTTCCCTCTGAGTTCTTAGATCCTCTAGATGAGATTATGACAGAGCACATGCCTCTAAAAGTAAGCACTGCTTTTTAAAACACAGATGTTGGGGCTGAAATGTAATACTTACCTTCTGAATGCTTTCATCCACAAGCCCACCGAGGATGTAAACTTTGTTTAGATCAACATCTTCAAGAGCTAATGAAAAAATTAAGGCCAATGAGATCAAATCTGTTTTATAATTTGTAAATCCAAAGAAAGCAAAATGAAAGAATTATTAACAATAAAAGTAGAAATTCAATAGAAAACAAAAAGAAACTTGCTCAATAAAACCAAAAGCTAATTTTCTAAAATGGCCAATAAAACAGACAAACTGTTGGCATAGCTAATCATGAAAAAGGCAAGCAGACCCAAATCAACATTAGATTCAGAAAGGAAACAAAACTACAGAAGAATGTGAAATAATTATATGAGAATACTATGATCAACTGAATACCAATATATTTAAAAATTACGTGAAATGAATGATTTTCTAGGAAAAAATAGATCTAATGTTGATCCAAGAAGGGCTAGTGGGACAGCTGACCAAGGATACTGGGAAAGACTGGCAGGCAGTACACAAGGCCCGGATGAGCATGGAAACCCTAAGTCTGTGAGCTGTGAGCCACACAGTAAGACATATCGAAGCATCCAGCAAGGCACCTGCCCATAAGAGGAGCGCAGCTCATGTACATTACTTTTTTGTGGGGGGGGAAGGGGTGTCCTTCTTGAGGGGCTTTAATACATTCTGCCACAGGGAATAACGAAACACAGTGTTAGGAACAATGGGCTATACGAATCCATGCATTCAACTACATACCATGTTCTGAGTCAGGAGTCAGGTACACAAGGGTTTCCAGAGGAAATAAACTAAAGCAGTCTTCTTCTTTTATATCTAGCTGAAAATGCAAACAGTCCAATGTTAAAACAGCTCACGGCCAGGTGGGGTGGCTCACGCCCATAATCCCAACACTTTGGGAGGCTGAGGCGGGAGGATCACTTGAGCTCAGAAGTTCAAGACCAGCCTGGGCAACATGGTGAAACCCAGTCTCTACTAAAAATACAAAACAATTAGCCAGGCATGGTGGCATGTGCCTGTAGTCCCAGTTATAATACTTAGGAGTCTGAGATGCGAGGATGGCTTGAGCCCAGGAGGCGGAGGTTGCAGAGAGCCAAGATCATGCCACTGCACTCTAGCCTGGCTAAAAAAAAAAAAAAAAAAGCTCAAAGTTCAACAGCTAGTTACTGGGCTTTGAGTTTCTATCAGGCATAGCTCTAGGTTTATCAAGGAACTGCATGTGTGACAGACTGACAGCTGCTTCTCAGAAAGTACTTAGGAGGGAAAGTAGACACAGACATTCAAACCTATTTGAAATGAGACAGCGACATGGGGTTCTGACAGAGGTACGGGGAGCATGTTCCAGGACTACCGATGAGGGAGTAACAACATCAGGATGACCTTCTGGGGAAGGAAATGCTGGAACTGGGTTTCTGAAAGGAGATTAAAAAAAAAAAAAAAAAAAACCACAGGGTCTGGCTCTGGCACCCAGGCTGGAGTGCCATGGCACATCTAGGCTCACTGCAACCTCTGCCTCTCAGGTTCAAGTGATCCTCCAGCCTCAGCCCCCTGAGTAGCTGGGACTACAGGCACGCACCACTGTACCCAGCTAATGTTTGTATTTTTAGTAGAGGTGGGGTTTTGCCATATTGCCTAGGCTAGTCTTGAACTCGTGAGCTCAAACAATCCACCTGCCTCAGCCTCCCAAAGTGCTAGGATTACAGGTGTGAGCCACCATGCCTGGCCTCAAAAGAGATAATACTGACATACACAAAAGGAGAAGAACTCAAAACTGAGGGAATCACCTAAGAAAGGCAAGAAGACAGGAAAGTAAGGGAACTATGTGGACCTGTAAAAGGAACTGTTTGGCTTCTGTAAAATAATCATTTAAAAAAGTACATAGAAGAAAACTGGAACTAGCTGCACTGCAAGAGAGACTGTGAAGACAGTAACAGCAAAACAGCTGGCTGTGCAGCCCTGTGCAATGCACCCTTCACATTCATCTTCCGTGGACCTTCCTGGGGAAGGCCACAACTGCTGTCTCAGCTACACAATGCAAACACACTGGGCATTTTCAGTGACATTTCTGAGAAACTCATCTGGATTCTTGCATGTATATGTATCACTAAATGTATGAGATCCTAAAGAGAGGTGAAAAGTACCTTAGTACTCCCTAAAACTTATCTTAAATTTGCATTACTTCTAAAAGGATTCCTTCTCTTCCCCCAAAACTCATGTTTCCCAGTTCACCATTAATGAGAACAAGAAAGGAGTCATGGCATTTCCCAAAAATATTCCTGGAGTATACAGTCTAGCATAAAATATACAGGATACAAAATATAGTCCTAGACTCTGGTAACAGTACTTTGCCAATGCAGTAGGAGGATGAGAAAAAATTTTAAATGTAAGACCTAATGAGAGGTTCTGAACTTTTTAGACTTCAATACTGAAAATATAACATTATATATATGAAAAAGTAAATTTTAAAAAATGCTATTACCCACAAAAACTTTTCAGATGACAATTCAAATAATATGCAAAAAGAGACTTACCAGGTAACTAGAAAATCCATCATTCATCCTCACACACTCTTCATAAAGGGGACTGTCTATTGTGAATCCAGTGAGGCAGATCCAAAATGGCCTGTCAGCTTTTTTGTTTGAACCATACAACCTTCGAATCTGTCCAGCCAGTCTACTTAATTCCTTCAAAGAAGTAAGAACAACTCAGGGCGAAAACATGGCAACTCACTCTAAATTAGCTATCAAGAAATGGCTACAATCAGTTCACTGAACGCTACTCCAGAAAACCCCATGAACTAGGAGTACATGTGTGCGTGTGTTATACCTTGTGGTATCGCACCTTACAGACAAAAGATAATGATACGAGTCCGGAAACAGTGAGGTAGTGGAAAACTGAGAATTTGCCCTCCTGCTGGCCCTGCTGTTAAATGTTTAATATATGAAATTCTTATTTTAGCTTTTATCTAAAATCTTATGTAATACTATTTAAGTTATTAAAGAGGTTTGATTAATATACAGAAATGTTTATAGAACATCAGATAAATTTGGTACCTTCTTCCTAACTTCAGGAGATGCAATAGGGTTGGAAGTTTTAACTTTTTACCCTGAATCACAGACAATGCTCTTACATAAAAGCAGTTTCACAATTTAGCTTGATTTGTTGGATAGGAAAAAAAGACTCTGGGTTTGATTTAATCTGCTATCTTAATTAAACAGTATGGATTTTTTTTTGAGACAGGGTCTGGCTCTGTTACCCAGGCTGGAGTGCAGTGGTACAATCATAGCTCACTGCAGTCTCAAATTCCTGGGCTCAAGTGATCCTCCTACCTCAGCCTCCTGACTAGCTGGGACTACAGGTACAGGCCACCATACCTGGTTAATTTTTAATTTTTTAGAGACAGGTTCTTGCTGTATTGCCTAGGCTAATCTCAAACTCCTGGCCTCAAGTGATCCTCTTGCCTTAGCCTCCCAAGATGCTGGGATTATAGGCAGGAACTCCTGGCCTCAAGTGGTCCTCTTGCCTCAGCCTCCCAAGATGCTGGGATTATAGGCAGGAGCCACTGTGCCCAGCCTAATAGTAGGGAATTCTTGGTTAACATTTTTAGAGGGCTAGAGTTAGAAGTTTCAGGTAAGAACCTCAGATCTGCAGTTTTCCTAACTTATCTGAAAAATATGCAAACACTAGCACATACAATAGATGTCTGAAAAGAGAGTTTAAAATTTACATACTGTGATATAAGGCCTAAAATTAAGGCCCAATATTATGTGCTGCCTTGACATCTGTCAGAACTGGGAATACTTCAAATAGCCTAATAGTAAGCTCCCCTCCCAACTCTGCTCCCGTAAATAAGGTCTCCTAGCTTTAAAAAAAAATCCTTTTTATCAAGGGTCCAAGGCATAGTCTCTGTTTATCCCTAAGGAGTGAGTTTTAGTTCCCTGCCAGCCCATGGAATTCTCCAAACAAGCCAATCACATCCTCCTATAGTAACCAGGGGGCACCTCACCCCCTAGATACTACAAAGCCCACCTCACACAGCCCCTTGTTGTTCATTCTGTTCTTGATTACAATCCCCACTTGGCCCTGTATGGCATACAGTATCTTTCTCCCCGGGCTGTAAGTATATGAGACTCAGGAACTGCTGTGAATCGCATCTGTCCAGTGTCAGGTGTCATGCATTCTGCCATTCTCAGAACTCTAGTGTGGGAATCCTTCCCTCATCAATGGGGTGAATGAGCATCAGTTAAAACGCATACATTGAGGCTGGGCATGGTGGCTCATGCCTGTAATCCCAGCACTTTGTGAGGCAGAAGCGGGCAGATCACCTGAGGTCAGGAGTTTGAGACCACCCTGGCCAACATGGCAAAACCCCATCTCTACTAAAAATACAAAAAAGTTAGCCACGCACAGTGGCTCACAAGGTCAGGAGATTGAGACCATCCTGGCTAACATGGTGAAACCCCATCTCTACCAAAAATACAAAAAATTAGCCAGGTGTGGTGGCAGGCACCTGTAGTCCCAGCTACTTGGGAGGCTGAGGCACAAGAATGGCGTGAACCCAGGAGGCGGAGCTTGCAGTGAGCCAACATTGCATCACTGCACTCCAGTCCAGGCCACAGAGTGAGACTCCGTCTCAATAAAAAAGAAAAAAAAATTAGTCGGGTACGGTGGTGGGTGCCTATAATCCCAGCTGCTCAGAAGGCTGAGGCAGAAGAATCGCTTGAACCCGGGAGGCAGAGGTTACAGTGAGCTGAGATTGTGCCATTGCACTCCAGCCTGGGTGACAAGAGCAAGACTCCATCTCAAAAAAACAAAAACAAAAAAAACACACGTTGCAAAAAGTTCTTCCACCAGCTAATCTTCCCACAACGTGCTACCAAGCAAATACTCCTCTTCCCAAAGATTCAGTGTCTGGCAAACTGAACCTGAAAGGTTCCATCCAGACCGAGGACATCATGAACAAAGAGGCAAAGATGTTGGGCTTGAAACAAAAGACAAGGTAAAAATTTGCAAACTAAACCAAACTACATATATTCTCTTCCAGATTCTTTACAACAGCCACCTTGGAACTGAGTAATCCAGTATAGGAAATCAAACACTTTCCTAGTTTACTAAGGAATCCCAGAAGCTGGAGTTGGCCATATTCTTCGTGAAAGCTGCACCCTTCTGGGCCTCCCTCATGCGAGCAGGAATTCCAGTGGATGTTCTACCTTCTTTGACATGTGGTGGGTCATACTCAAATCGATACACAGTCTTGGTCCTGAGTGTTTGGCTTCCAAAAGTTTCTCTTTGGTTAGAGCTCTCAGGAAACGTTTGCTGTGCTGGGGGCAGATGCCTAAAGCAGAAAGATCAGAAAGAAATAAAAGTGGAAAACCAGAGGAATAATACTATATAAGAAACAAATCTCCCTAGCCAGGTGAGTTTTGTTTTTGTTTTTGTTTTTGTTTTGCATATAAAGAGAAACTTGATAGCGGTATAAGGTATTCGTTCATTAGGAGATTTACACATAGCAGAGCGGGGAGGAGTATGGGCTCTGGAGCACACAGCAGGGTTTAAATCCAAATTCAGTTTGTTCACTGATTAGCTAAATTATCTTGGGCGTAATTATGTTACTTAATTTCTCGAAGCCTCAGTCTCTTCACCTACAAAATGGGAATGATAATAATAGCTCCTCTCCACTGAGGTAATCCACGTAAAATTCTTAGAACTGAACCTAGCACAGAGTACTGAATAAATGATACTGTTGCTGGTATCATTCCATCTATTCTGAGCTTATAAACACATACGCTAATCAGACAGTTTATATTTGAAATGCAACCTTAAATTTTGCTTCTTTTTTTTTGAGACGCAGTCTCACTCTGTTGCCCAGGCTGGAGTGCAGTGGCTCAATCTCGGCTCACTGCAACCTCCACCTCCCGGGTTCGAGATTCTCTTGCCTCAGCCTCCCGAGTAGCTGGGACTGCAGGTGCCCGCCACCACACCTGGCTAATTTTTTGTATTTTTAGGAGAGATGGGGTTTCACCATGTTAGCCAGGACGGTCGTGATCCACCCACCTTGGCCTCCCAGAGTGCTGGGATTACAGGCGTGAGCCACCGCGCCCAGCTGCAAATTTTGCTTTCTTTGATGTTTTGATTCCTAAGAAAATAGGACAGTGGGTCCCACATCCCAGATGCCTCTTTTTACTTAAACAAAATTCCTACTCTCCTTGGAACATGCAGACACGTTTGCTAAAAAATAAATATGATTATACCAGCAGTCTCATTTATTGTCACCTGGATTTTCTGCACGATTGGCTTTTCTTCGTTCTTTTTCTTGCTTTCTTTTGCTCTTCTTTGCTGCAACTATCTTTTCCCAGTGTCTCTGTTTTCTCTGGACATTTTTCTTATATTATCCAGAAAACAAAATTGTTTGAGAACTTCATAAGCACCAAAAAAGGAAAATGAACATTAGAAACATTTACTTATTTTTTCTCATTTATATATAAAGTTTGGCGAGAAAAAGGAAATTACTCATAAAAACAAACCTAGATTGGATCGTGTTTAGAGAAAACAGAGCCCCAGAAAAAGAGATGTGACCTGGTCAAGGTCACAGAAAATTCATTAGTGACAGGGCCTGGAGTTTAGATTTCCTGACCTTTCAGAGGTGTATCAAAAATTCCTTTTGAACTTTACTTACTTTTCCTATGACTCAAATGAAACTAAAACTTTAAACCAGTTAGCAGAAAATTAATTCATCACTTAGAATACACAAAACTCATTCCCAGTTTCTCTTTTCACTACCAGTATCCATCCTTAAAACAGGGGTGTCTGAGACATTCCATCATTCAAGGCCGATGGCCAGGCAATTCACTACACTCACCGAGCACCATGCTGTACTGCCTGTGGCCAGGGTCTCTCCCTCCTGGCACTCGCCTTCCGCATCAATCTGCAGAAGCTGGAAGCCTTCAGGAAGTCCATCTTCACCTGTCTCCTCTAGGATGCCTGCTTCCCCCTGCAGCACAGGTGATTCTACTTTCTGAGTACTCCCTTCCAATCTCCAGTCCATGTGCTTAGTTCTCTGTTCTTTCAACCAGACTGGAAAAAGGCACAATTATGTAAGCTATTACATTATTTCACTAACATAGGTATCTCCCTACATCCAAATAACAAAGTGTTATTGTGTTACCAAAAGATCAGAAGTGTGTAAAATACTGAACCAGATTTACTGGACTGAGAAAAACTTGTGTCTTCCAGAGAAATGATTCAGCAGAGAAACAGTTCAGTAGTAAGGAAGCCAAATACACTTTTTTTTTTTTTTTTTTTTTTTTTGAGACAGAGTTTCACTCTTGTTACTCAGGCTAGAGTGCAATGGCGTGATCTCAGCTCACTGCAAACTCTGCCACCTGAGTGCAAGTGATTCTCTTGCCTCAGCCTCCTGAGTAGCTGGGATTACAGGCGTCTGCCACCAAGTCCAGCTAATTTTTGTATTTTTAGTAGAGACGGGGTTTCACCATGTTGGCCAGGCTGGTCTCAGACTCCTGACCTCAAGTGATTCACCCACCTCAGCCTCCCAAAGTGTGGGGACTACAGGCATGAGCCACTGTGCCCGGCCCCAGATGCACTTCTTAGAGGACATGCACAACACCTGACATCTCCAAGCAATCAATGATTATCTACTGCGGCAGTGACACAGATAACCAAGTTATTTATTGTGTACTTTAAAATGCATTATATGATTTGAGAGTAGGACAGAGATTGCAAAAGCCACATCACCTCCCCCATTATGTCTCAACCAGTTTATTTTCAAAATCCTTCCTTTAGCAAATATTTATTGAACACCTATTATAAATAGGGTACTATACTAGAGACATTCTGGGAGGATGAACCAAAATACACAGTAGAGTGACATGAAACCAAGAATTCTTTTAGGTAGTTGGTATGTATCAGACTTAGTTTTTTTAAACTATGTATTCCCTCCAACTCAGCTGAGTACCACCTGCAGTAGAAAGCCACAGTCACCAATGAAAATGTTTAATATCCCTCAGAAGTGGTGAGGTTGAAAACTATGGACAAGCACTGTTACAGAACACTTAACAAATGATGTCATAATTTCAAAGTGGAGTTCAAAATCTAAGAACGATATGAGTGAGAAATGCTTTAGTCGGCCGGGCGCAGTGGCTCACGCCTGTAATCCCAGCACTTTGGAAGGCCGAGGCAGGTGGATCACCTGAAGTCGGGAGTTCGAGACCAACCTGACCAACATGGAGAAACCCTGTCTTTACTAAAAATACAAAATTGGCCGGGCGTGGTGGCACATGCCTACAATCCCAGCTACTAGGGAGGCTGAGGCAGGAGAATCCCTTGAACCTGGGAGGCGGAGGTTGCGGTGAGCCGAGATCATGCCATCGCACTCCAGCCTGGGCAACAAAAGTGAAACTCCGTCTCAAAAAAAAAAAAAAAAGAAAAGAAAGAAATGCTTTAGTAAATGGTCAAGTGTCATAGACCAAGAATGATGTGACCATTACCTATGGCTGGTCCTCTGAGTGTAGTCATACAACCACTATTTTATGAAAAATACATCTTAAAAAGTGTAAGTCTATGCAGTATGATTCATATACATGGTAAAAAGACCTATTTATAATGAAAAGTAATAATCCACACTCCTATCCCTTCCACCTCTAGTGGCAACCCTTGTTAACCAGTTGTTTTTCGTTCTTTTGGTACTTAACTCCTTAACCTGAACTCATATGCTTATATCATTATTTCATGATTCATCAGCTTTGAATGTATTGACTCGCTATGAAACCTAAGAATTCAAATCGCTTAAATCAGTGCCTACTATTATTATTACTATTTTTGAGACAAGGTCTCACTGTTACCCGAGCTTGAGTGCAGTGGCACAATCATAGTTCACTACAGCCTCAACCTGCCGGGCTCAAGCAATCCTCCCGCCTCAGCCTCCCATGTAGCTAGGACTACAGGCATGCATCACAATGCTTGGCTAATTTTTAAATTTTCTGCAGAGATGGGGGTCTCCCTATGTTGCCCAGGCTGGTCTCCAACTCCTGAGCTCCCACCTCGGCCTCGCAAAGTGTTGGAATTACAGGTGTGAGCCACTGCTCCCAATCAACCCCTATTATTTTTATTTATTTTGAGACAGAGTCTCACTCTGTCGCCCAGACTGGAGTGCAGTGTTGCGATCTCAGCTCACTGCAACCTCCGCCTCCCAGCTTCAAGCAATTTTCCTGCTTCAGCCTCCCCAGTAGCTGGGACTACCAGGCCCGGCTAATTTTTGTATTTTTAGTAGAGATGGGGTTTCACCATGTTGGTTAGGCTGGTCTCGAAGTCCTGACCTCAGGTGATCCGCCCACCTCGGCCTCCCAAAGTTTTGGGATTACAAGTGTGAGCCACCGCACCTGGCCTATTATTTTTAATTCTTCATTAGTTACCTTGATTTTGAAATTTTTTTGAGATCAGGTTACCTTGATCTTTACATTTCTCTGGCAAAGATTTTAAGAGTACAGTTTAATGAATTTGTGTGTGTGGTAAAATATATTAACTCAACGAGCTTTAACAAATGTATAAGGCCTGTGTTACTGACAATCCTGTCAAGATATGGAACATTTCCATCACCCCGGAAAGTTTTTGTTGTTTGTTTTTGAGACGAAATCTCACTCTGTTGCCTAGGCTGGAGTGCAGTGGCATAATCTCGGCTCACTGGAACCTCCACATCCTGGGTTCAAGCGATTCTCCCACCTTAGCCTCTTGAGTTGCTGGGACTACAGGCGCGCACAACCTTGCCTAGCTAATTTTTGTATATTTGGTAGAAATGAAGTTTCACCATGTTGGCCAGGCTGGTCTCGAATTCCTGACCTCAAGTGATCCACCACGTTGGCCTCCCAAAGTGCTGGGATTACAGGCGTGAGCCACCGCGCCTGGCCTCACTTCAGAAAGTTTAACTTTCTTTTCCACTTTCCAAATCAGTCTTCATCCCATTCCCACAACTTGCCAAAGGCAACCACTGTTGTTTGCTATAACCATGAATTATCTGTATCTATTATACAACTTCATATAAATAGATGCAAACATTATGTGCTCTTTAGCACTTGACTTTTTTCCCCTTAAAATATTTGAGATTTACACATGTATGTATCAGTAGTTGCTTTTTTATTGCTGAATAGCATTCCACTGTATGACTATATCACAATTTATTCTGTTGATGGGCATGTGAGATTTTTTCCAGCTTGGGGAATAAATCTGCTATGAACATTTTCATAGATGTGTTTTTGTGGACATATGTTTTCACATCCATTGACTAAGTTTTAAGAGTAGAATTGCTAGGTCATAGGATAGGTGTGTATTTACCTCATAAGAAACAACCATCCGTTTCCCAAAGTATTATACCATTTTACACTGCCTGTCAGCAATGTATGAGCATTCCAAATGTTCCACAGCATCACCATCTGGGGACCCCTACGCAGATTTCTGGAGCTCCTTTGCTACACAGCTCCCTCCTTGCCAGTACCCTGCTGTATGCAGCCATCTCAGCAGCCCTAAATTCAACTGTTTCCTCCACTCAGTGACACCGATGCACTCTGTATGGGCTCCATGTCACTATATACCCTCAGGTAGAAAGCCAGGGTGACTGTGGGGCTTCGCTTGTGTGATTCTTCTCCCTCAAGGATTACAGTCTTGTCCTGACTACTGCCCAATACCTGAAAACAATTTCTTCATATCCTTTGTCCGGTTTTATAGTTTATTGTAGGAAGGTAAGTCCAATACCCATTCCTTCTGTCATAACAATTACCAGAAGTCTTTAATACTTTTAAGAATATTTTTAAACTTCTGTTTCTTGTTCAAGACATAGTATTTCTGACTCCCCAATATCTTTAGGCTGTGAACATAAACACCCTTATATTTCTATCTCTGTTCCTCCTTTAATTTTCCAACTGAGCCTTTAATTTTTTTTTTTTTTTTTTTTTTTTTTTTTTTTTTTTTTTTTTTTTTTTATATGAGCTTCAATTGGTTATTGCGCAGGGTAATTTTACCATTATTGTCTGCCCCTGACAAAACAATTAAGTGCTTTGTCTATCCCTATGGTATTTTCTAAAATTTGTAAACCAAATTTGTCAACTATTTTTTGAGATAGGGTCTCAACTCTGTTGCCCAGGCTGGGGTGCAGTGGTGCAATCACAGCTCACTGCAGCCTTGACCTCCCATGCTCGGGTCATCCTCCCACCTCATGAGTAGCTGGGACTACAGGTATGCACCACCATACCCAGCTAATTTTTGTATTTTTAGTGGAGACAGGGTTTCACCATGTTATCCAAACTGGTCTGGAATTCCTGGGCTCAAGCAATCCACCTGCGTCAGCTTCCCAAAATGCTGGGATTACAGGTGTGAGCCACTGCACCTGGCTGTAAACTGCATTTATATTATTATAACTCCATAAATATCATTCACTGTAGAGATGGCTAGTGTCCTAGAATTATATTTTCTTTTCCATTTTGACTCCTGTGTTTGGAAAACATTTCTAGTGTTGAGTTCACATTGCCTTTTTTCTTGTACTCCATCAAATGCTCAAAATTGGGCCAAATTGTAGTTGTTTTCAGTTCAGACACACTTAAATAGGTTTAAGTGGAAAAATAGCATTCTTAGAATTCAGACACACTTCCTAGCTTGCCACTTGTGAATGATGGGACAATATCTAGAAGATTTAAGTCTCTGCCATAGAGTCTCTCACGAAATGGGATAAAACCACCTCACAGGATTGTTGCAAGAATTAGATACCTTTCACTTACTGATATAAAACAAGTACTCACGAAATACTTGCTGTTGTTAACTACTATTCACAACCCCTTCAGTGTTGTTCTTACAGTTGTTCTTAAAAGGTAAATCTTCTGAGTAGTTTTGGTTATTTGTGACATATCATGTGAACATGTGACCACCAGATACATTCCTGAAGATGACCAAGTAAATTACCTTCCAGATTTTCAAAATTATAGATTTGAAATTTGTGTCCATTTGTCTGCCTAGGCTAAAGTTTATTTCTGTTTAGAAATCCTTTAAAACCCAGTACAAATTAATTTTTAAACATATTTACAACAGACTCTATCACAAAGAATTAGTGGCATGTATAAAATTTCATAATGTATGTCATATTTCCAGAGAAATGAGGAAAATGCCAAGCTGGCTGGGCGCAGAAGCTCATGCCTGTAATCGCAGCACTTTGGAAGGCTAAGGAGGGAGGATCAATTGAGCCTCGGGGTTCAAGACCGGCCTGGGGAACAAAGTGAGACCCCCATCTCCATAAAAAATAATTAGATGGGCATGGTGATGCACACCTGTAGTCCCAGCTATTGGGAGGCTGAAGCCAGAAGATCGCTTGAGCCCGGGAGATCGAGGCTGCAGCGGGCTACAATGAAGTGCCATTGCACTTCAGCCTGGGTAACAGAGCAAACCATGTTTCAAAAACAAAACAAAAAATCCAAGCTATTCTTAAACATTTCAGAAGCACTGCACATGAATGAACAGTGAAGTTGATTTTTTATTTATAGATATATATATATATAGATATATATATATATATATTTTTTTTTTTAAGATATAGGTCTTGCTATGTTGCCCAGGCCAGTATTGAACTCCTAGCCTCAGGCCATCCTCACACCTCAGCTTCCCAGTCACTGGGTAGAGGTGTGAGCCACTGTGCTGGCGCATATATATATATATATATATATATTTTTTTTTTTTTTTTTTTTTTTTTTTTTTTTTTATATTTTTTTTTTTTTTTTTTTTTTTTTGAGATAGTCTTGCTCTGTCACCCAGGCTGGAGTGCAGTGACATCATCTCGACTCCTTGCAACCTCTACCACTCAGGTTCAAGTGACTCTCATGTCTCAGCCTCCCGAGTACCTGGGACTACAGGCATGAACCACCACACCAGGCTAATTTTTTGGAATTTTTAGTAAAGACCAGGTTTTGCCAAGTTGGCCAGGCTGGTCTCGAACTCCTGATCTCAAGTGATCCGCCCACCTCAGCCTCCCAAAGTGCTGGGATTACAGGAGTGAGCCACTGCACCCAGCCCATAAACATGTATTTTTAACAAAAGATATCTAGACCCCTGTTATGACAGTTTTTTAGATGACTGAACAGACTTTGTTATGCCAACCATCAGTCACCTGCGTTTTTCTGCATATAGGCATTCAGAAAAGAACAAATGAAAAGATAAAGATAAAACTAATCCTTAACTGACAACTTCATTTTATTAGGGTGAGAAAACCAACACCAATTTGTTAAATAAATGCTAATTTGTTAATAGCCATGTGATCTCTTCCTCCTTTAAACTTCAAAGCATTTCGTATTTTTACCTGTGTTGACCATTCATTAGTTCATAAACATTCCACTGAGCTCCTCCTGTATGCCGGGGCCTGTTGGGGAATGACTGGGAGGCTCTCTGGAGCTCTCTCTGGAGGTAGTCTCGCTGAGGAGAAAAGAGATCGAGGATAGGAGATCCTAGGAGCTACAGACTTCCACTGTTGTTCTTAAAAACTGGAAAGTCTGTGCTGGTATTTTCTCTCCTATCAAACTGAATTCCTTTGTAGGAGGGCTTATACCTACATTTACCTAAACACTGAAGAGTTCACAGTATAGTTCCTTGAAAACAGCAGTGTTTATTTTTTGTTGAATTGAACTGAAATTTACCGCCACCACTCCCACTCCCTTCCTTTCTTTTCCCCTCGTTTTACCTCATGCTTCTCCAAATCTCTGTAGTCCCTGAGAATGTTTCTTAGACCAGGAACTTGGGATGCAATAATCTTGAAAATCAAATAAAAACAACTCCAACCACCACCAGAAGAGTAATAAAACAAGCTAACACTCCTGAAGGCAGAGCCCACCTCTTTTGTATCTTTGTATATCTGTTAACTGGCATAAGGCCTGGAACAGAATGGAAGCTCAGTAAATACTGATTAGGTGATTGCCACCTAGGGATCCTCAGAAAGCAAAGGTGAAGTTGGACATCACAGAAGCAGAGATCTGCTCAATCTGTGTGGGGCATTATCTACGCCCAGATTTAGTTTTTTTTTGTTGTTGTTTTTTTGGTTTTTTTTTTGACATAGGAATTACCATTTTAACCATTTGTAAATGTACAGCTAAAAACACACTAAGAGCATCCACATTGTTTGCCACCATCACTACCGTCCATCTCCAGAGCTTGTTCATTTTCCTAAAGTGAAACTCTGTGATCTTTATGTAACTGTCCATTACCCAATCCTGGCAGCACCTTTACATTTCCTATCTGCATGAATCTGACTGCTGCTCTGGTTTGAATGTTTGTCCCCCTCTCACATTCAGCTTGAAATTTAATTGCCATTGTTAACAGTATTAAGAAGTGAGATTTCATTTATTTCCCGTTTCTTCATTCAAAATCTTTTCTGAGCCTCCATTGTGGGTCCAGTGCTCAAAACTGGGACTATTCCTTACTTTCATTCAACAAAGTTACTAAGCACCTGACAGAACAGTACATCCTGGGTACTTGGGGATGACATTCGTTCAGCTTTCATGGGGCTCCAACTATCTGACCCAGCCTTGCATGACAGCTGCCTGTTTCCCCACTAGATTATAAAGCCAGGGAACAATTCACCTGTACACACTTAGTGCTGAGCCTGTGAGCATCCTAAGTGTTTGATAATCACGCTCTTCTGCTTAGAACCCTGCAGTACTCTCCATTTCACTTAAGGTAAGTAGCCCAAATCCATACAATGACCTATGCAGATCATTAAGGTCCACCTTCCAGTTTCCCCTGCACTCTCTGGTTTGCTGTTCCTCAAACATACCCTTCAGGGCCTTTGCGTTCGCCGTTCTCTTTACCCTCAATGCTCTTCCCTCAGACACTTACAGACTACCTTCCTCCCCTCATTCAGATTTGTACTATCCAACATAACTTATTTTATTTATTTTTTGTCGGAACCTCCTCCATCCCTACAAGTGTTGTTTGCTTATAGACGCTCATTAAATACTTGCTGAGTTCATAAATACTCCACTCCGCACCCTCACCCTAGGTTGGCAGAGGCCTCAGACCTTTGCTAGCCCAAGTCCCACCTGATGGGCACCTACGCTGCCGCTAAATGATGGCACATCGACTCCAGCCCGAGAGCACCCCGCCTGCGGGTGCCTCCCAGCCCACAAGCTGCGGCGCGTGCGAGTAGAGGCAGGAAGGGAAAGCCCAGGAAGGTAGTGTACCACAGGCCACATGACTGGTAAACGCTGCTTTCCTAGCGTCCGCCCTGCCGCGAGGGAGGCAGCTGTCCCAGGCTGACCCCCGCAGCCCCCAGTCAGCCCCCTAAACCAGCAGACGGCTTACCTGATCCCGTCACCCCAGGAAGCAGCGGCGGCGGCGCCTTCGGATTTCGCCTCCGGCTTCGCTTCCGCTTCCTAACCCCGCTCGGAATGGCATCCTGGGAATTGTAGTTTTTCATCTGCCGGCCGCGCGTGGGGCCGGGCCGGCGCGGAGGCTGTGGCTTCTGCTCCCAGCCCGGGCTCTGGGGAGCTGCGTCCAGCCGTGGGGCCGGGCCGGAGCGGAGGCTGCGGCTTCTACTCCCAGCCTTGACGGTGGGGAGATGCGTCCCGCCGTGGGGGTTGCCCGCCTTCTCTGAGGCCCGGTTTCCCCGTCTGTTAGACGGCTATCACACCACCAACCCCTTGCCAACTTCACAGGGCTCCTGCAGGTGACCAGGTGCTATGTTGGTTGTCAAGGGCTGGACATTATGGATATTGCGAAACTGGGGTGTGTGAAACAAAAAGAAAAACAAAATTCTAAGCCCCGCAGCCGACTGAATGGACCTCCCTCTCGGCCAAGGGGATTCCAAAGAAACATTAAAAACTAGTTAAGGCCATATTGGGAAGCGGGAGCGGAGCGGGGCCGTTGGGCATGTCTGATATTATATCCCGTCCCTTTCGGAGTTTAGACCCAACTGGAACTGGCAGAACAGAATCTTTGTAGCAATAAGATACCAAATTCCAACCTGACATCACATGACAGAAAAAGAAACCAAAAACTTTTACCCCAAAATATGTTTCATTGCCTTAATTTGAAATGGCCCTGCAAAGCTGTTTTGTGTTGGGGGTGCGGGAGGGATTTGCACCTGTAAAAATATCTCTATTACCATAACTAGATCTTTCCCCTCCCAGGTCCTCCCAATTCTGAAGAGATTAACTGAGTCTAGCACCTTTTTTCCCCTTCGTTAACAGGTGAAACCAAATTTGGATCGCCTATCATTCCACAGCCTTGCCCTTCCCCAGGCTTTGCCATAGCCAGCAGAGCCCTCGAGCTGACACAGCCCTTTGCTGAGCACACAACCTCCCTCTCCACTGCCCCAGCGCACAAGAGAGATGTCAGGATGATTCCAGCCCCTGGGCACTCTTCTTCCTCCATCAAAGACACGAATCGGCTTGCCCAAGACTTGGCCTCCTTATCAGCCACTCTTCCTTCACTCCTGCAGTCCTAGGGGTCTCACCCATTCAGAGACACTCCAACCTGAATGAGCCCGAACTCCTGTTCAAGAAACTACAGCCTGGTTGGATTCCTCCTTGGCCCAACTTTCCCTCTCTGGACTTTTCTTTCCAGGGCTCCTCCAGCACCTACCACCCATCCCCAATCCATGCTCCAATCCATCCTTTATCAGCTTCCAGGGCGATTTCTTTCTTTTCTTTTCTTTTTTCTTTCTTTCTTTTTTTTTTTTTTTACAAATTTTTCTTTTTCTTTTTTATTGTTATTTTTATTTTTTTTTAAATAGAGATGGGGTTTCACCATGTTGCCCAGGCTGGTCTTGAACTCCTGGGCTCAAGCGATCTGCTCGCCTCGGCCTCTCAAATTGCTGGGATTACAGGTGTGAGCCACTGTGCCTGGCTGCGATTTTTAAATACTAACACTAAACACTCATTCCCGACCCCCTCCCCCACCCCCATATGGCTTTTTCTAAAGCCCAGCTTTAACATCTCTGCTCTGCTCAGAGACGGCCCTGGCTTCCCACTGTCTGCTGAAATGCCCCAGTGGGGCTTGCACAGTGGCTTAAATGATCTTCAATGACGCCTTCAGGTTTTAGCTCACACTACACCTACCAGTCCCTGCACCTCACACTGAGCCATGCTGAACGCTTTCCCCCACTCCCTGCCACCACTCTTGTGTCCTTTACCTCTGAATAAGCTCACGGCCACTTTCCAGTGGGAGGAAAAGACCTTCTAGCTGGTCTCATTGCTTTCCCCAAACCCCACTCCATGCGTTTGCCATATGATTATGTGTCTCTCCTGATGTAAAATCTAACCCCCTTCCCGAGGTCTTGTATTACACAACCCAGCTCCTGCATGCCCCTCCCAGCTTCATCTCCTATCACTCTTCCTCCAGCTTGCTATGTTCCAGTTGTACTGATCCTGAAATGCTTCAAACGCCCTGTGAGCCTTGCAAATACTGTTCCCTTTCCTCTCACTTTTCCATGGCTGGCTTCTTATGCTTTAGGCCCCAGCTTCAGCATTCCCTCTTCAGAAAGGCCTTTCCTGACGACCACTCTGGCAAGATTGGTTCATTGTATCCCTGTCTTGGCATCTTTTTTTTGTTTTCTTTGTTACCTCTCAGTCAGTAATGGATTTTTTTTTTCTGTGTCTTTTCTACAATTATAAGTTCCTTGAGGAGACTATGTCTGCCGTGTTCATGGTTGTATTCCCAGCGCCACTACATAGTAAATATTTGTCGACAGAGTAAATGAATGATTTTTCTCTACGTTCTTGACATATCCAAATTCTATCTGTCAAATCCAGGACCTGACACACAGTACTCAATAAATACCTCTTGACATGCTAGTTTTAATTAATGCTGCCTTCTGCAGGAAGCCTTCCCTGATTACTACTCTGCCCCTTACCCAAAATGACTTCTCTCTCATTAGACCCCTCACAGCACTTTATCTGTTCTCTCTGGAGGCCTTGAGTGAACCGTGCCTTATGTTGTAAGCCTCTATCTCCACGTATCACCTAATCTCTATCAGGAGCTTTTCAAAATATAATAAGATTCTTCCCCAATTAGTTACATTCATAATGCTGCATCAGGCATCACCTGGCATGGGCATCCCATGAATGTTTGTTGAAAGAAATGAATCAGCCAATGTGATGGTGGGTGGGAAAAAGAAGGAAAGGTGTAAATGTCCCATCATTTCTTAGTCACTAAACAATTGACTCTTGCATTTCAGGGTAGCAAGTCCCCGTTCTGCCTATCTCATGTTGGAGGCTGCGTGACTCTAAAGAAAGTGCTAAACAGTACAATTTCCCCTGCTTCTTTAGCTTTTCAACAAACAGTGAAGGGTTTCCCAGCAATTCTGGAACTTAGTTCTCCTCATGGGAACTGTAGAGAAAAATAGCAGCTCCATACAGTAGCAACTCAAGACAGTTAATGAATTTGAGGGGAGGAGAAGCAAAGAAAAAGGAAACAAACACTTATTGAGTGCTGAGCTGGAAGCTTCAGTCTTCTTTCTGCCTTCCATGATTATGTATTCTTCACAATAATGCTGAATATATGTTATTCAACAATCTCTAGGGTGTTGGCCATATTAGAAAAATGCATTCAAGGTATCTAAATAAGGCATCTGCCACATCGTAGGCCCTCATTAAATGAAAAGTATTATTTCCTTTATCCAGATGGGGAAACAGGCCCAGAGAAACACCTAATAACACAGGCCAAACCCAGGATTCAAATCCTCATTGAGGCCAGGTGCGGTGGCTCGCCCCTGTAATCCTAGCACTTTGAGAGGCCAAGGTGGGCAGATCACCTGGGTGCAGGGGTTTGAGATCAGCCTAGGTAACATGGTGAAACCCCTCTCTACTAAAAAAATACAAAAATTAGCTGGGCATGGCAGCAGATGCCTGTAATCCCAGCTACTCAGGAGGCTGAGGCAGGAGAATCACTTGAACCTGGGAGGCAGAGGTTGCAGTGAGCCAAGATCACTCCATCCTGGGCAACAAGAGTGAAACTCCATCTAAAAAAAAAAAAATTATTGTTGAGTGAAGTCCCGAGCTCCTCCCCTAAACTTGTGAACACATAGGTTGTGTTCACATAAATGAGTGATTTACCTCTTCAATGATTTCTGCTGGCAAAAGTTTCAAGTCCTGTTTAATATTAGGCAATTTTTATTATTTTGGTGTCCTGTAGTTCCTGTTTTTCACTGCCATGAAACTGCTTCCAATCTGTGTTCAAGAGCCTCATTTAAATTGTATTCAAAGCATTCTAAGAAACAGGCCTCTAAGAAAATATGTCTTTTCCTGGCACAAGTACCGGTTAACTGGTTTCTAGTTATTAATAACAAGCCATTGGTAACAGGAGATGGGAAGGATGCCTTTTCACGTCTTCTCTCAGGTATTGTTTTCCTTCTGATTGGAGAGAGCTGAGGTGTGTGACTTAACACTCTCCTCTGTTCCTGCTTTTGCTGGATGGAGAAGAGGAGCCCTAGGGAAAAGCCACGGGGGCAGCACTGAGCCCACAACTGGTCAGGAGCACCAGAGGGACAAGGGACTCCTTTAATGAACTCTAAGAGCCTAAGGTGAGTGACTAAACCACCTTTGGCCTGGACAGAGAAGCCAGGCAAAGAGGCATCCCAAGGGAGGCTTAAAATCAGTTTCCCTGGGGTCTAAAAACAAAATGCAGGGTATGGTTTCAGACTAGAATAGACATCCATAAGAGCTGACAGTTATAACTAGCATTTATCATTTACTAGATTGAGTACTTGCTGGATTTCTATCCCATAAAATGGGCACTATTAGTATCCCAATTTGCAGAAAAGAAAACCAAAGCACTGAGAGGTGAAGTGGCTTGTCTAAGGTCCACTGGGATGAACTGGGATAAACTGGCTCAACTGGGGTAAGAAAGGTATCCAATATATTTCTTTTGCTTTAATATTCTTAAAAAGGCAAATCTAATTCAAGGCTTTAATGTTCAACTTTTTATTTTTATTTATTATTATTAATTTTTTTTGAGATGGACTCTCGCTCTGTCACCCAGGCTGGAGTGCAGTGGCACGATCTTGGCTCACTGCAAGCTCCGCCTCCCGGCTTCAAACGATTCTCCTGCCTCAGCCTCCTGAGTAGCTGGGATTACAGGTGCATGCCACCACACCCGGCTAATTTTTTGTATTTTTAGTAGAGACGGGGTTTCACCATGTTAGCCAGGATGGTCTCCATCTCCTGACCTCGTGATCCGCCTGCCTTAGCCTCCCAAAGTGCTGGGATTACAGGTGTGAGCCACCGCTCCTGGTCAATGTTCGACTTTTTATATATTTAAAACATGAATAAGGTGCAAGATTCAGGGATGCAATCAATTTCAGATAAAGCACATGTGTGGCCTTGCAAGTAAAGAACTTCCTGCCACCTAGTGGCAATCTATGCTTGCTGCAGCGGGGCAGCCAAGAATCCCAGGCCTCCTGGTGCAGGCGCTGCAAACAACTTGTGAAGGTCGAATCTATTAAATATCACCGGTATTCACTCCTATTTGCAAAGGTTATTGCCAAATAAGTGTGATATGAGAAGTCAAGACTGTTTTTCAGTGACCCCCCACCTTTCTCCCTCACCCCTGCCTTCTTGAGTATTCCTTTTGCTTCTACACTCCTTGGGTATGCTCCTTTTACGATAAACGCTTTGCTAATAGTGATCTAAATAATCTGTGCCCTTGAGAGTCTATAAGCATCCTGACCAGGGGTAGAGACTTGTCTTACTCATCTGTAAATCCCAAGGCCTGGCACAAAGGCAGTACCCAGTGAATGTTTGTTGAATGAATATAAG